ACACAGAATTAGAAACTGCAGGAGGTATTTCAATAAATGAGGTGTGAGACTCTAAGCAGTGGTCATGATTTCAGAAATAGACCTGAGGGGGCAGCACTTGCGGCTCAGTGGGTAGGGCACTGGCCCCATATCCCAAGAGTGGTGGGTTCCAACCTGGCCGGCCAAATTGCAACAAAAAAAATAGCCGGGTATTATGGGAAGCACCTATAATTCCAGCTACTTGGGGGGTCTGAGGCAAGAGAATCACCTAAGCCCAAGAGCTAGAGGTTGCTGTGAGCTGTGACACTACAGCACTCTACCAAGGGCGACAAAATAAGCCTCTATCTCTTAAAAAAACAAAAACAAACAAACAAAAAAAAACCTGGAACTGAATTCTAGTTCTGCTCAGTAACATTCTGGTTCCACTGGGCAAGTAACTTCTCTAGACCTCAGTTTCTTCACTGCAGCATGGTGTGAGGTTGAGACACACTCCCTGCTCACTAAGTGTATGGAGAGGCTGATGCCAGGCTAGCTGAATCTTCCACCACACACCCTCTACATAAGCCTATCCATAATCTCCCAGGAATTTAATTCTTACCTGCTACTCTAGTAGGAAAGGCCACCAGGCGGTCTAGTGGGGTTATCCATTTACTTGGCACAACAGCTACAGGGACAGAATAGTACTTCCAAATGAGTGAGATCATCAAAGCAGCCTGGAAAAATACATCTGATGAGTGAAAATAACCACCAGCCACATGCCCAATAACCACAGAAAGAAAAATGGACACTATGCAATGAAAAATGAGCACTCTCCAGACTGAAGACGCAAGCCTAGCAACCAGTCCTCACAGGCAGCAGACACACAGCCATGGTTACTAATTGCTGAGACATTGAAAGAGAATATCTGATTGAAGATGAGCTCATGAGGACATCTGGAATATCCTGCTAACGAGTGGGTGAGCCTTATTATATGAACTGGCATTTTACTGTTTTAGTAAGACTAGGTCTAACCACAATTTAAATTAGCTGATAAATTAACCAATGTCTCCCATAACATAGGTATTCTTTTCACATTGAATACCCCCTTTGAATAGTCAGACTACATGCTAAGTACACCCGCCTGGAGACAAAACCCATCTTCCACTTCTAAGATCCTTGAAAACATAATTAATCCCCGCATTCACACGTGAGTGTTAGTGCCAACATACAAATACAGAGGTGAGCCCTCTGTGAGGCTCAGTGGTGGATGGAGAACTGATGCTTAATTTTCTGTGCTATCCCCAGCAGTATTCTTTTGGTTGGCTTCTGTCCCCTTTCTGACCTGAATATGCTACTCTAATGACCAGCCCCTAAAAAGGGAGCAGCTGGTTTGAATCCTGTCTCTAAGAAACCCATCTCAAGTAAACTGTACCTCAGCATCGATTTCTTTATATGTCTCTTCAAACCTGGGCTTTTTGGTGGGGAGGGAATGAGAGTGAATCCTTTCCCTTCAGAAAGACGACCATAGCACTGAGACTCAGAAATTGGCTAAGGCAGCCACTAACGCATGTACGCAGCAGTGCAGGATGAGAGCCACCTTCACTGAGAAAAGCTGGTCTCTACCAGAATGAAGCATGTGTTTAAGCACACCAGGAAATAAGCAATGACTAATATTAATGATGATCTTAGAGAAAGTATCAATATATGCTTCTTACTTCATCTCCCCAGACCCTTAAAACTGTACTAAAAGGCAATATAAAAGACCTCCTGAGAAGTTACGCCAGAGTTAATATGCCAGTAAGTCCCAACCTTAAACCTTAGTCTAACTTCTAAATTCAGTGTGCAGATTTCCACACTGGTAAGACCAAATGACGCAGCAGCTGAAAGTGAAAAAGCCTGAACTCCAATCTCTGGCTTTCAAGGGCCACGAGCTGCTGGAGCCCAGTCATTGCCAACTCTAATAACCCCATGTGACACTACAGTACACTTACTTGCAATATGTAGAAAGCAACATTGATAACCCATTTTATCTTGGCTAACTGAGCTGTCCGTGCTTTCACTGAAAGAAAAAAAAAAAAAAGAATAAAACAATGTCAGTCCTGAAAAGTTAATATGTAAGTACCAAAAAAATGTTATTTTCCCTTATAAAATATTTTCTGATTATAAATGAAACAATTACTCAATATATTTACAAAATGTAAAACAGAATCTTTAAAAAGTCATCTACTATCTTAGATGCCATCTACTATGCCATTATTTAAAACAAAAATCCCACTCAGACTGTGAGATTTAAATAGCTTTAATTTTGGATTTTGTTTTTTTTTTGGAGGGGTTTTTTTTGAGAAAAAGTCTCAAGCTGCTGTCCTGCGTAGAAAGCCATAGTATCACAGCTCACAACAACCTCCAACTCTGGGCTCAAGTGATCCTCAAGTGATTACAGGCACAAGTCACTGAAAAACTGCCTCAGTTTTTTTATTTTTAGTAGAGATGGGGTCTCGCTCTTGCTCAGGCTAGTCTCAAACTTGTGAGCTTAAGCAATCCACCCACCTTGACCTTCCAGAGTGCTAGGATTATAGGCTTGAGTTTGAACCCACCAACTCTAGTATATGAGGCCAGTGCCCTACTCCTTTGAGCCACAGGCGCCACCCAGGATCTGATCTGATTTGATCTGATCTCTTACCCAGACTGGAGTGTAGTGGTATAATCACAGGTCACTACAAGCTCCAACTCCCAGGCTCAAGCAATCCTCCTGGCTCAGCCTCTGACTGAGTAGGTAGGACTACGGGCATATGCCATGCCCAGCTAGTTTTTTTAATTTTTTATAGAGATAGGGTCTCGCTGTATAGCCCAGGCTGGGCTCAAACAATTCTCCTGCCTTGGTCTCCCAAAGTGCTGGGTTCACAAATATGACCCACAGTGTGTGGCCAGGTACCATGAGTTTTGAGCTTATCCGTCATCTTGTTAATCTTCCTTTCCAGCCTGGCATATCTGGCAAACTCATCCATCATATTGACTGTGGAGAGCTCTTGCTTCATATCCTGGATCTCTGCTCTCATCTGTGACTCCTGCTCTGCATCCTTCTGCAACACCCTGGACATCTGGAAAGTAGACAGCTGGGATCAGTGCCTTCCCAGTGAGGTAGAAGAGGATCCCCCAGTGCTTCCCCAGCTTTCTTTCTAGAGCCAGCTACATGCTTCCCCTGAAGGTTTGAACCCAAACTAGGGCCTTGAACATTCCCTAGGTACTGATAAAAGAGTTCAGGTTGTTGTTTGAAAACACAGAGAGTAATCCTGCTGTTAACACATACAAACCAGTCCCTGCCCTGAGCCAAATTCCCTAAACCCCTAATTAACTCCATAGCCCAACCCTCTTATGGTACACATATTAGGTAAAGCATCCCTTTCTCGTCTGTCATGAGGACTGACTGCTGCAGCACTTTATAAGTTCCCCTAAGAAGTACTTTGGACTATCAACCTGGTGTGTGCTTCTGCCTTTAGAATCCCTGCTGGTCCCATCTCCAGTCAGTTTGGAGCTCTCCCCTGAGGGAGTTCTCCCCACCCCAACCCCATCACTGCTTCTGAAGCAATTCTAGCACAGAAGCAAAGTGGCAGAACAGGTGTACCTTCCTCCAACATCCTATTGCTGTCCCTTCCCCTGGGCAAGCTGTGCTGTCCCTGCACAACAGCACCCATCACCTTTTCCTGCTGCCTACAATTACCTCATACACACAGAAAACTCCCTCAGATATGAATCACTATTCAAACTATATTCTTCCTTTTGCAAACATATCTATCATTATAACTAAAACCGAGATTATAAAATGAAAACCAATTCTATCACCAACATGCATCATCCTCTTCTCTTTCTGAAGAATTCAGTCCTAGAGTAGATGGGGCAGAGCAAGGCAGGGTACAAGGTACCAATGATGAGGTGGTAGCCAAGGGCTGGGTGTCAGAGCACAAAGACCGCATGGAGGCCATTCCTACAGGAGCACCCTAGCGAGAGGAGTCAGGACCAAGTATGGTGGTATAGGAGACTTAAGAGAGGGCAGCCTGACATGGGAAGCAGAATCTGATTCAGTGAAGGGGATGGCATAAAACAGGAAGAAGGAACCTTGCCAAACACCATGTTGGAACCCAGGTGGGGATAGGCAGGTAGGGGCTGGCAGTGAAGACAGGAGATTTAGTTACAAAGGAAGGACTGATCATACCAAGTAAACATAATGAGAATGATGGGACTGGGAGGGAACCAGAATGAATTTTGTGGTGTTGACTTAGAATTGAAGGTAAGGATATAGATTCATGGTTTCCTACTGATAAGAGAAATAAACACAGACGTAAATGTACTTAAAAAGGAGCCCCCAGCCTACCCTGCAGGGCCTTGCCAGCCCTGCACTTGTGGCCCACCTAGGCAATCCCCACAAGGTCCCTCTTCCTGGCATCTGCCTGGTGCTTTGGGGACAAGATGATGATGGCCAACAGGTGACATGGGCCAGGAGGTGGCACTCACCAGAAAAGGCCTGGGTCCTGGGACTGCTAGGGTGTCCTGGAACCACAGGTCTAAGAAAACCTCAGGAGGTACCTCTGGAAAGTAGCCCAAAGCAATCAGCAAACATCCCCAAATAGTTGTCCTGTGGATGAGAACTAATGAGGCAGCGCCTGTGGCTCAAAAGGGTAGGGCACCAGTCCCATATGCCAGAGGTGGTGGGTTCAAACCCAGCCCCAACCAAAAAAAAAAAAAAGAGAGAGAACTAATGAGAACAAATTAGTTCAGAGATATCCCTGCCAAACCGTCAGGCAAGCTAGCAGGCAGCCATTCTGCAAAATCTCTGCCCTGTGATACTCAGAAATGAGTCTGCACATCAAAGAATGACTGAGATATTCCTCCAGATTGTAGGAGACTACAAAGACATGACAAGTAAATGCAGTGCATGATTCTAAAGTGGGTCCTTTTGCAATAAAGAGCTTTATTAGGACACATGGAAAACCCAGACAGGACCTAAGGATTTGCAGCAGCAAAGTACTTCATGGCTGTATCATGAACAAGGCCCGCTGTTTACACGCCAAAGTATTGGGGAATGAGAGGGCTCAAGTTGACAACTTACTTTCAAATGATTCAGGAAACAAAATCCTTTCCTTGTACTGTATGTGTAACTTTTCTGCCATTTGTGTTTGTTTCAAAATTTTTAATAAAAGGGCTCGACACCTGTGGCTCAAGTGTCTAAGACATGAGTCACATACACCTGAGCTGGCAGGTTCGAATCCAGCCCAGGCCCGCCAAACAACAATGACAGCTGCAACCAAAAAACAGCCAGGCATTGTGGTGGGCACCTGTAGACCCAGCTACTTATGAGGCAAAGGCAGGAGAATCGCTTAAGCCCAGGAGTTGGAGGTTGCTGTGAGCTGTGATGCCACAGCACTCTACAAAGGGCAACAGCTTGGAGCTCTGTCTCAAAATAAATAATTAATTAATTAATTAATTAAAAAAATTAATAGGCCAGCAGTGGCTCACTGCTATGATCCTAACACTCTGGGAGGCCAAGCCAGGTAGACTGCCTGAGCTCAGGAGTTTTAGACCAGCCTAAGCAAGAGTGAGACCTATCTCTAAAAATAAATGGGTGTTGTGGCAAGCGCCTATAGTCCCAGATACTAGGGAGGCTGAGGCAAGAGAATCACTTGAGCCCAGGAATTTGAGGTTGCTGTGAGCTATAACACCACAGTACTCTATCAAGGTTGACAAAGTGAAACTCTTGTTTCCAAAAAAATTTTTGAAAATGAAAACAATAAAAATAGATTAATAAAAAAAGATGAAAGAGAAACAAGATTACCTAGCATACAGCAAGTACTCAGTGATTTGTCCCTGCTTCCCTATATGGACAGGTCCCCTCTGGCCTGCGGCACAGTAGGATAACTCTTGGTTAGAACTGCTAGCTATACCAGCCCTGCCAGTCTCCTGGGAGTGTCTCATAAGCACAGGTTCCTAGATATCTGCAGAATTCCCTGCTAATGCAATAAGGACTTCAGCTCCTTGGCCTCCCAGAGTGCTAGGATTACAGGCGTGAGCCATGGCACCAGGCCAATAAACATGATTTTTTTTTTTT